GAGCCCAGCAGGTCGAGGCCGCAGTGGCCGGGAGCGGCCACTGCACTCCAGTCTGGGTGACAGAGTGAGACTCTGACTCAAAAAAGAAAAAAAATTTCTAGCCTATTAAAGTAATCTCTTTAATTATTTGCTCTATATTTTGGTCAACCTTCATCTATACAGTAGAGTAGCATTCTACCACGTAACACAGTGGTCAAGTCACCCAGTCCACAGTAAGAATTAACTGGTTTCAAGCCATGACTATAAAATTTAGCAATCGCCAAGTCATTTTCCGGATGGCCTGTCTCCTCTCGAGAAGCTTAGTGAGTACACTGTGGAAGGGAGCAAATCACCCCTTCAGATCTCTAGAAGATCATTTAACACATGACTGCCTTAAGGACAGAAATATTTCTGAGATGGAGAGTAAGGCTTGAACCAGTGCCAACAGGGCTCTAGGGTTATACCAAATTTGAGACCCTACACTCTCCTCCAGTCCTTTGGGGTGGAAACAGAAGAGAGAAAGATTTGGAAATCTGTGAAGGAAATGAGCTCTAACGGACACCTCTATAAAACAGAAAAGATTCAGCTACATACACCAACTGTCGGCACTAAGACTTTTGCCACATGGTAATTAAAATTAAGCAGAAGTGGATTTGTATGCAAAAGATAGACGGGTCATGAAACTGAACTCTGACTAGGTGGAAGTATAACCTTTCTCAGGTCTAGTAAAACTGTGAGCATTAACCGATAGTTCAGAGTGAGCGAGCCCCATTCACCATGACTTTCCTCCAATAACAGAGATGTCTTTATCAGATTCAACTCATTTATTCAAATCAGTCTTTTAAGGTAACAAGTAAGTCATGAGGTGTCATTGATTCATTATTCTTGGATACTACCCAGAAGTTAAAAGGATTCTGATGAATCTAGATATTTGTGTTATCATAGAGCATGTCAAACCAACTTCCTTTCCCAAACACTATATAAATATCTACTTAAATGTGCTCATCTACTTTTGAAGAACTTTGTAAGAAAATTGTAAGACATGAGTTGTCAATAGAGATATTTCCCTGCAATGTCCTGTTAGATATAATTTGGCCTCTTATTTATTGGTAAACTCAGCAAAGTGAAAGAAAATATTTCCATAAATATTTCAAATTGAGGTCAAATTTAGCTATTATCAAATTGCAAATTATTATTTTTTAAAAACTCTCCCTAGAAGACAGCATGATGTATTTACCTCTGATGAAAGCTTTATATTATATCCAATTATCTTGTGAGAACAATGTGCCTAATAAGAGGTTAGAGGTAGAGCGATTGAGGTGAATTCGTTTGCTTAAAGAGGCCTGAGCCATTTTTTTCTTGGAAACGTATTAGCAGCAAGAGTTCACAGCATTTTGATTTTGCAGTTTTACAAAATACTTTGTCTTACAGCGTTTTCTATCTAAGGTCCATAAAAAATTATTTGGTATAATTACAGATCTATTGGTTAAGCCTAAATGTATAAAGTCCTCTCTACACGTGTATTATTATAAATTAAGTGAGGATCAATTTCTGGCCCTATTAAGTTTATGAAGTCTGTAACACTTTTGGTGCAGAGTCTTAAGCCTTCAAATCACTACCAGGTCATGCTATTAGCTGAAGAGGTACTATTGTGTTTGGGGCAAACCGTATGGGCCGAAAGATGTACGAACCATGCAATCGACTAGAAATGGGTGAACGAGCTACACCAGTTGCATGGTTTTGTTGCCTCTACCTGCAAGGCTGCGTTCCCTGGAAAAGTATGGCCTTGCTTTAGAATGAGACTTTTTCCTCTCAAGTCGAGTGTCCGGTGTTAGCCGTCAGGGTCTAGCTCGAGCCACGCTAACTGCTTTCCCCTTGCTGTGCTGTCTGATGCTTACTGACATGCTCTCCTCTCTTTGTGAACCTTTTAACTTCTCCAAATGTCTCTCTTCTACCACGCTGCTCTGGATTAAAAGGTGGGGATGATAGCAAAATGTGTCCATCCCTTTGCAGTTACTCAGGGCTCAACGGCAACCCCTCCCGAGAGTTAGATTACTGTAGCCCTTACAGACAGCACCTGGACGTGCCGCGGGGCTCGCCGAGGGCCACCTCCTTCAAGAACGGCTGGCAGATGGCCCGGCAAAACGCCGAAGTCTGGAGCAGCACCGAGGAGTCCGCCTCCCCCAAGCTCAAGTCCCGCAGCTGCGACGACCTCCTGAGCGACGGCGGCGACGGCTTCCCGCACGCCAGGGCCAAGTCGGAAAGCCTGGGCTCCCTGCGGGGCGAGGAGGCGGCCCCGGAGCGCCGCGCCCCGG